CTGTAACTCTTGGCAGCTGGTGGTGTTAACTGAGCATCTCTATGTATGTGTAGAAATAAATTGTTGGTAATATACCCTAGAAATTTTTATTCCTTTCTTAAAACAAATTATACAGTATTTCTGAGAGGCTTATATACAAGGGCAATTAGAAGGGAATACAAATTTGAGAAAAGTTTTAAGTATCTAGACATCTGTGTTTGCTCTTAAGATGACCAGTACAATGTAATTATATATCTTCTGAGAAATGCTGGCCCTCTTTTACCAAATATAAGTTGTTGCCACACTTTAAATTATGTTCATATTTATTTTAATCTTATAGTACTTATTTATCTTTATGTCATTCTTAAAACAATAATAAGGTTCCTACAAACTTTGATTTGCTCTGTATATACTTTTCAGAGGCTTTTTTCATGTTACTAAAATTCTTTTAATCTGATTCATTTAAGTGACTTTTAAAACAGTGCCAAAGGTCTTTTAAAATGCATTAAGTTTCTGTCAGTGTTTGAGTGTCTCATGTGTTTAATTCAGAACATTCCGCTGCTCAATAACCACAGAACCTCACATGCCACTGGAAAATACAAAACCTTTATCTTTTAACTCAGTTTTGCTTTCATGCTTAGCATGGCTCTAAAATCACCATTGGGATATTTATTAGCTGTCTTTGCAAAACTGTGGGTCATACATCTTTCACATTTCATTGAGAAGAAAAGAAACTTAATCCCACTAGGATCTCCATTATTAGTTCTTCCTCTTGATTTTTTTCTCTGTGGGGATTTTTATGCTGGCCTAACAGTGCTCTGAAGATTCCTTAGATGGATCAGCATTTTACAAAGGCAAAATGAAAAGGCAAAACTCTATTTTGAGTTGGGAAATTAAATTCTATATTTGCCAGGCAACTTTTTTTTTTTTTTTTTTTTTAGTACTGGGGATCGAACTCAAGTCCTTGTGCTTGTGAAGCAGGCGGCGGAACCACTGAGCTAAATCCCCGGTGACGTGTCAATATTTGGTTCTTATTTAATATGATACAATTATTCTCTTACATGGCAGAGTACCTTTATGTTCAGTAAAGTCGTTTTTAGCCACTGCATAACAGTAATTAACCACTTGATTGCACCTTGAATGATACCATTTCTAAAGATTACTCTACAAAGGGCATCTTTTTGTGGGATCTGCTCTCCAGGGAGCATCAATCATATTTCACCAGCAGCAAAAATGTAAATATCCTTTCCATATTCATCATAGAGTATTTTGTCTTCCATGGAGAAGAATTGCTGAAATGAAATGTTCAGGAGTCAGACTGGTAGGAAATTGTTTATTTCTCAAATTGGCTCAAATTCTCATTTTTAAGCATACTGAGACTTCTAATTTTCAAGTAGTGGCTTGCATGTTCGAAAATTTCTTACATGGAGACATAATTACAAAGCCACATTTTCTATCATAAAATATTCCAAATAATGTGACATTTCAAAATGTCCATTCTTTCCTCTATGGAGTAAGTGAAAGCAATCTTTATTTAGAGCCTTCTCACCTTAGTCTATTTTCTTAGTGGTGTCCAATAGTTTATCTTTTCTATGTAAAATCGCATATCTAGTTTTACCAGTAAAATATTGAAATAGTTCATCTTATATTTTGTACGTATGACAAGTGAAAGCATGTTAGTAAGATCCTACCTTTGGTCTGATCTACTTTTCTTACATTATACTCAAATTTTTACCTTCCCTTGCTAGCTGCACTGAACATGTTTTCCCATACTGATCATATCCTTTCTTGTGTCTCTACAGGCAGGAGTCCCTCTGTCTGGAATGTGTTTCCCTTTCTTCACTGTTCATTTATATAAACATCCATGCTTCCTTCAAAACTCTGATTAAATGTTATCTATGAAGCTTTCTCTAAACATCTCATTCTAAACACACACACACACACTGTTTTCTCTACTGTCATCCAATAATATATTATAGATCAGATTATGAAATTTGAACTTCGTTTACACTCATATTCTATTTTGGGATCTTAGCAGTCAAGGTATATTATTCATTTATCCTTGGATAGGACCTGCTCCAGCTCTGGCACCCTAACAGGCACTTCCTATGCATTTATAAATAATTAATGGATTAAACAGTATGTGCCAATTAGTGTAAACATTATTCTCAAATTCTAGATGATGATGTTATGATTTTTCTATACGATATTGGTCCCTGCGGCCATAATGACAGAGAGGAGATAGGCTATTATAAGGCTTAATTTTGGAAGTTTTACAGCAGATAGAAATAAATCTTAAAATTCCTACCTGAATTAAGAAAAAAAAAAACAAAGGAGGGAAACCGAAATTATTTGCCAAAAGTAACGTATTTAAAATAGAAAATATCTGAAAAGAAACATGGAGAACTGAGAAAAATGACTTTTCAAATAAAAGGTAGATGGAAAGTTAACTCTTAATGATTAATGTGAGAAAGGACAAGTGCAGTGGAAGTAAACAGAATTAAGTGATAAACATCTCTCTCGGAACTGCTGTAGTAAGTGAGCAGGAGAGAGGCCTCTGAAGCATCACCAGGATCCAATTCACAAAAAATCCAGAATGCCCCAGATTATATTCTTGCTTCCTTTCAACTCACTTTAAACTAAACCAAAGTTTCTCTTTTGAAGAGAAACAAAAACATCAACTAAGTTATGAAATTATTCATTTAAGATACATAATATTTTATTATTTATTCCTTTCTTCCTTATTACTTTTATGATAACCACAGAAGTTTAACTTCTGTTAAGGTCACTAAAATGATTTTACCAAGAATGTGCCTTGATGCTTGAAAGAGGGGAAGCACAGTTTATGAATTCCAAAATAGCATTATTTGAAAGCATAAGACTCTTGTAAGCCTTCTTAGAATTGATTTTTTTCTACTTGCTTCACTCCCCCCACATACACACAATAAAAAAATAAAGCTTTGGGTGGAGTTAAGAATTCTTTTCAAATGTTAAACAATAGCTGGAAATCCTGAACATGTATTCTCCTTTACCCAGTAGGGAAAACACTTTAAAGTCTCTCCTTTTTTTGTTGTTAAGAATTATTTAACAAGGTATTTAGTCAACAGTTTCTATTTTAAACTGAAAGTCCAGTTTTAACTGCCTGAAATATATTTTTCCTTCCAAAACTCAATTCTTCTTTTTCTTGAGACATAACAAGTGCATGATACTAATAACCTTGACGAATGTGTCAATGCAATTAATGATTTACTTCAATCAAATGATGAAATTAGAGATCTGGAACATGTATCATAAAAGTGTGAATTTGATTCCAAATATAAATCATATAAAGCATATCTATAAATTTAACAATTTTAAATATTCTGATAAATAAGTAATTATGTACTCTGTGCATATTTACCAGGGTGGAGGTAGAAAGAAGAAAGAAATAGGGACACAGTGCACACCATGGTGTCGTGGACAGAGAAGTATGTGAGGAGCCAGGGGACCACAGTCACTCTGACGTCCCCTTCCCCAAGTCCATAAGCACTTGGGGGCTCCATTCACACCTCTCCCTGGAATAGCATCTCTGGTGAGCAGAGATGAAACAAAAATAAATTTCCAACCTATTAACAAGGAATTTCAAATTACTTTAAATACTCTGCAATGATATGTAACAGTAAACATCATTATATATTTACAGATGAACTGATAAATTCATGTAATAATTCTGACAGTTTTCTAACTGAATTCCTAACTGAATTAAGTAAAAGAAGGGGGTTTTATCTTTCTCCTGCCAAATCTCACATGAGGGAAAAATTTACCACTGGTTTAGAGTTATTTACTTTTCAAACAATGCTTAAATTTCATACATAATTTTTAAATTTTAGCTTCACATTTCCTGCATAGAGTCTTTAAGAACTATAATAGTCTTCAAGTATGTCCCAAAGTCTGACTTTTTTTTTTTTTTACTGTAGTCAGACAGACAAGATCTCTAACACCAGTCCCGATGCTGATTCAAGAAAGGTTTCCCTGGTGCCAGTTCTTGGGAAATGGAGGATGTGCTATGAGCCTTCTCAATGGACACATCCCTAAAGAAGCTGAGCATGTAGGACTTGCACTTAATAGTTCCTGTTTTCACATGGCCCTGCACAGGGGATGAGTTAAGCATACCTGTTTGGGAACAGAACAGTCCCCAAATCATCCTAATATGAGCTTAAGGAAGAAAAACAGAAGACAGGAGCTAAGCCATTGCTGCTGTGAGAGCTACAGGGGCTTCTGAGCCGAGACCCTCGCTCACTCCCTTTCATCTGAACTGTGTGTGTGGAGGATGAAAGTTGCACACATCTCCAGAACTCCACCCCAAGAAAGGCCACTCTTGCCTCCTCCTTTCCTCAGAAGCAGTTCTAAAATAAACCCTTCACTTGTTTTGGGGAAATGCTGTACATATTCCCTGCGTGCATATTTCTGTCTTATGTGTGTGTGGTTTGATTATTTATTACTTTGCATTAGTCATGCCTACCCCCCCTTTTTTTGACTGTTAAACTTGTTTCCTGAAATTACTTTGTGTGTATTGCACAGAGAAATCATATTTTTGCATCTCAGCTGCCTTTATTCATAACTTCTCCCTTTCCTTGACTGGGTGCATCAGACAAATTAATACATAAATGGCAAAAACCTGGCTATAATTCAATAACAAATGCTAACTTAGAAATACATAAACGCAGTAGAAAAAAACAACATTAAAGAACATGAAACACCCATTGACAATATTTAAAAAATTACCACTGTATGTAATGCTACTTAAAGCATTACTGTACAGAATCAACCAATGAAGAATCCATTTAAAACTCTTTTAATAAAGGCAATTTATATTTATTTGCATATTCACACCACATACTAGATAATGACGTGTGTCTAATATGTCCACTAAAAATTTTATGTCAGTAATCAATTTAAGCTCTCTATCCCATACCTGCAACTTAGTACTCCTTGACACTAACTGGACACCATTAATATTGCCAAATTTGACAAATACTCACGAGAGAATATTCCCAATATAGGCGTAGTAGGAGCAACAGTAGGGCGTGGTTCCATCACAGCAATAAGATCTGCAGTCTTTGCCACACTGAGCAAGGCAACTGTCTACATAATAAAAACCATGGATGAGCTATTATGGTTGGAAATCACAGCATCAGGAAAAAGTATTCTATTTCATATCTTTATCAGTTAATTCCCCCTCTTTAGTACATTCAGATCTTCATTTTCATATTCAGAATTCTAGAACATTTGCCAGGTTTTACACTCACCTTTCTTCCCAGGTAGATGAAGCTGTGAAGAGCAAAGACCATTCTTCCTGAAGCTCCTGAACCAAGTGCTGTACTCAGCACTCAGCATTGGTCAAATGAGGTAATGAAAGGAGAAATGAATGAATGAGTCAATAATCATTCATTCAATTTGTCAATAGATTTCTTTGAATAGTTTTTAACTGATCAAGTTTTCTGATTTTAGAGTGTTATATTCTCAATCAACCTCAATTAATGAAAAGTGTTATTGATATGGGTAATACCGAACAGTGCTAATTTAATGCTAAGTTTTCATAACAGTGTATTTTATGCTTTTCTTTCCATGCCATTTTACCCCCATAATTACAGTTTGCTTCCATATGGTAACAGAAATCAGTCTACTTTCTGTCAAGTCATTAGGCTTGGAAAATGGTGTGTTAGTTACAATAAGAAGTTTGTGAGCAATTAACAGATCATTAAAAATCATACTGAAGAATTGATAAGCTATAATACAGCACAGTGTGAAAGAGGAAAAGGGTATTGTCTGACCAAAAAGAAGTATTAGAGGCAAGAAAGACAAATTACTATTTTTCTACATGTTTTTCAAGAAGGAAAATTATACCAGAAATGTTAGATAAAAATCACCCTAACCTTTTAAAATTTTGATTTCCTCATACATGGTTTATTTTTTGTTACTTTTTAATTAGTTAAGTTTATGAGTACATTTTAGGTATACATAATGACTACATTCATCATAGGGAATTTGTACCTGTACATGATATATCTTGATTTTTATTTTTTGTCATTTGCCTTCCTCCCTTGTTTTGAGTTATTATTGAGTTATAATCAGGACTATAAATCATGATCTATATGTGAGTTTTGAATACTATATATGTTTAGGAAAACAAAATACACGCTGATAATTTAAGTTGTATCTTCAAGAATCACAAAATAAGTCATTTCCAACTTATTCCTTGTAGGTACTATTGACCATTATATAAATTATATAAAGATTTTGGTTTCCTATCAAAGGTATAGTATTAAAAGTATAATGACCATGTATTGATTTATCAAGAAAGGAAACATTTTATTACTTTTAATTCACCTGAGATGATTCTTTACAAAATGATGTGATCAAAAGGTAGCAAATTTCATCTGCTTTTATAGTAGCTTTTTTGGAACAAGTGAGAAAGTTCAACTTCAAATTTTATTTCCTTTCATTTTATGTTTACATTGTAGATAAATAAACACGAACCTTCATGTTTTCTTCTTGATTGTGGTAAGAAGAAATGAGAGGGAAAAAAAATCTCTGTAAGCTTTAGCAACTACCTGAACCACTTACAAATTTTGAAACAAAACCATATTGGAATCATTTAAATCCAAGGGAGAGGTTAAGGTACCAACAATAAGTGCTTCCTGCAAAGCACTTGTCATACTGTTAGAGGCTAATTTGTGCTTTCTTCAGTGACTATTCTGCTGCTGTCATTTTAATGCTATTTCATTTATTCAAATATTTCGACTGGTCAGTTATCCCCAAGGTTTAGCAAGGATGTGTTACTTCTTGTTCTTTAAAAGGCACTCAGATCTGGAGACAGCTATTGTCTTCATTGTTCACAGTAAGACAACTAATGTTTAAATAAATTCATGGGCGCCTTTTTAGTGAGGCTCAGGACAGTGAATTGTTAAATTTTCCATGAATGTCAAAGATTCAATTACTACCACTACTTTCTAGTTATGACTGTCATAAGGACATGGTGTTATCAAAATATTTTGAACCAACATTACAGGAAAGCAAGCCCAAAATCTTGTAGCCAAGAAGGTGGATTTACCTGTAGCAAACCTCTAGATCATGTTGCACATTGTTTCTTATTTTTATGGCATTTTCCACAACTCTTGTCTGCTTCCCAGCATTAAGCTGCTAAATTTAATTGTACAGCAAATACATTCACAATTACAACTTTTCCAGTCTAAACTTTGACTCATATTTCAAAATTTATTTTGCTATGTTACTTGCTTTCTCTGGCTTGAGTTTTCACACACTTATAAAAGAACGGAACATTCCAACTGTCCTTGGAAAATAGGTTGTATTACTTCTAATAAACAAGTTCGTATCACTGAAAACTAGTTCAAACTTTCTTCAGTAGCTTTTTAATGAAAGGCAGGAAATGGAAGAAGGTTCCCCAACTCACCCCCTTAGCCCACCTTCGGGAATTGTGGTACAGGAAAAGCAGTATCTGGCTTGAAGCACTTGCTCAGAGGCTCCTGCAAGCTATGGGTAAGGATAAGAGAGGTAGGAAAGGGAAGGGATGGAAGGCACTGGCTGAGGCCCAAAAGGTAAAACCTTGACCAACCAGATCCTGTCTTTGTAGCTTGCAGTAGGAATTGGACAACAATATAAACACTTCATTATGTCTTTTTCTAAAAGTGATGCCACCATAAAACATGGTATATCATGGATAGAAGCCTTGTTCTTATTTACCTAGCCCAATAGAACTTGAATATAATGTTTGTGGAAAATAATTCAGATTAAGGACAGTGCATCTCTTAGGCTTTTGTCCCATGAAACGGACAATTCATTTACCAGAATATTTCAACTATTTTTATTTCTAACCATAACTCATACTTCCAACTGAACTGAATCATCCATCGTGGCATATACATACCCATGGTGTTTGGTGTTGTTCATACTATATCCTAACATACCCTACTCTATCTCTGTCCAGGCCTTTCTTATTTAAGTAAAGATCTTGTTCCTCCAATTTCTCAATTCAATACTCCTGAGCAAATATTTGTTTGAGGTCTTTCAAGGGGATGAGTTTTCTAGTCTCAGAGGCTGTGCAGACTGTGTCCTTAAGGAGCTTACACTTATAAGCCACAAATAAGACCCCCACCCTTTGAATACCAACACACATGATGGTGTCTCTCCTAGGACACACGACAGTGATTCATGGGCAGCCCTTCTCTCCCAGAGAGAAACTCAGAGCGTGACTTCTGTTCTCTTCTTGAGTAAATATGGCAAGCTTAAAAGCCTCTGGAATCAGAAATCCAGGAGTAAACACTCAAGAGTTCCCTAGCTAAACATTTCTTCTGAAAGACAGTGAGTCAACCTAGTATTGGTTTGCGGTTACTTTAGAGTGTGTGTAATTACTCTGTAGTCTGCTAGGTAAGGAGAGAACGGCACGAATCCAGAGGAACCAACCTTGCTGTTGACCAGCTGGGCTGGCTTCCTGAACGTGCAACTGGTACTGAGAGAACTGGAGGGAAGGGGGGGGCAGGTGCAGTAGGTAAAGTTTTCAGTCTTCTAACGGAATAAAGCAGACACAAGAACAAGAAAAATGTGTAGTTCAATGTAGTGGTTGAGCAAGGCCAGGCCAAGTGAGGGTAATTAAATAAAGTCTCATTTGCTTTTTGCCTCCTTCCATCCTTCCCATAAGCAGAGGAGGTGGAAAGGATGAGCCATGCTTCAAATGAACTAATGAAGAGATTTTTACATAAAACTACTGTTAGTGCAATTTATCCTTAGTCCCTCAAATTTGGAAAACTATATGATTTAAGTAAAAGGAATGTTGTAAACAGATTAAAATGTGAATTTTTCCCATTATATTGGAGCAAATTTTCTACTTTTATGCATTTCTATATTAGAATCAGCATTTTCCCTATAGATATCTTTTAAATGACAGCTTTAAACACTTGCTAATTTGCACTTTAATAAACAGACTGAGAATTTCTATGGAAGTTCTATCTGGTGAGGTTAGATGAGAAATTAGATGCTCAGGTGACAATGTGGGAGAAGGTCTTCATTTGAGTTTGCAGTATCTCTCAAAATGTAAATTGCAGTGCTATTCATATATAAAGCATTGCAGGGAGATGGGTAAGACTGATTTTTGCCACCAGAAATCAAGAGATATGGAAATATTTTTATTAAAAAATTAGCTTTTAACTTTGTTCTGTGAATATGAACAGATGCAAAAACCATGTGTGTAATTAACTTTATACCTGAATACCCAATGAAAGGCCATCTAGGGCTTCCTATCAATCACAAAACAAAACTCATTTTGCTTCATTATTTATTAGCAATTCTCACTAAGAATAATTAGAAGGCGGGAAAGGAGATGCCCTCCACAAAAAGTGCTTAGCTATATGAAAGAAAACAGATTAGACTCCGAGTGAATTCATGCCTCTCAAAAACCTTGTATTTTAACTCAGCACACCCAATCCCCCAGCCTACAACACTTGTGAATCTTATAAAGAACAAAAGCAATGCCTAAGCTTTCATTTCTAAAAGGGGAAAACCGATATATTCAGAAAGTGGGCGGTGGAGGGGGCCGTGGGTAACCTATAATGCAATGGCAAAGTCACCGGAGGAGCTTACTTTAAAACCCCAGCGAGACCTCCAAACTTCAGGTGCTTTTTAAAAGCGCTTTCCCTTCCCTCAGTCTCCGCCCTCGCGCGCAGGTTCCTGAGTCGTGGATACATTTTACACCATCCAGACACTGCAGTACACTAAACGTGAGGTTACCATTTGCAGGTTGCTTACAAGGAGAAGGGGCAGGGGCAGCAAGCAGGAAAAGTTAAAAGAAAGAAGAAAACAAGCAAGCGCAGGTTTCTGCAGTCGCCTGGCGGGGACCACACAATCTCTGCCCTCCCACAAAGGTCTCAGATGGTCCTGCCCGGCCCGAGGTGGCCCAGACCCGGACCCACACACATTCCCGGGCCCCTTACTCTCCCTCAGCCCCGTGTCACTGACCTGCGTAGACGAACAGCAGGACCAACTTGGGAAGCAGGACCCCTGGACCCCGGGGCAGCCTGGGCGCGTCCATCCGAGTCAGCGGCTCGAGGTCGCGCTCTGGGACAGACGACTGGACCGGGGCCGGGAGATCCCGGGTCCGGGACGGGATGCGGAGGCGGAGGCGGTCAGAAGCAGAGAGGGGCGCTCCCGGGAGCAGGCTGGCGCGGAAACCCGGCCAAGGCCCGGAGAACCGGGTGGCAGCCGGGCGGCAGCCGGGCGGCGGGGAGAGGCGCCGTGGCTCGGACCAGGTCTCTTTGTCTCGCTCGGCGATAGGCGCCCCGGCTCTCAGGAGGCGGCTGCTCCGGCGTCCTGGCCACCCAAGCTCACGTTTTATCCCCGCTGGTGGCACCGAAGTGGGGCAGGGGGCGGGGG